GGAATGCTTGAGTACTGTGGCTTCAATTAGGCACTGGCTTATAGGGAATCAGAGATAGAGTTAGTGATGAGGAAATAAAGGCACCACTAGATGTTCATCATTCCACCTCTGTTCAGGTATAAATTTGACTGAAAGGAATGACTTGGTTGTTACTAAATGTTTGTGTGTCCTGCATATATTTTTAATGTACATAACAAAATTGCTATATTTCTAAATAGTACGCCTTTTTGTAAATGCAAATCTCGTGGTGTTAATGCTGGAAGAGACTGTTAAACAGTCATCTGTTACACTATGTCTAGAAGTACTAGTTTTCATAAGGTAAAAGCACACATTAAAAATTTTTTTTCCTAGCCACAGCATCAAAACTACACCATTTCTTCTGTTTTCTTAAAAGCATATGAGAAAGATAACCCTTAATGATTTGTGTGTTTCTATGATGTCCATTTTATATGAATCTTAGCCTAATACTGAAAGACTATCTTTGGGTATATTCTGCTCTTTTATACAATAATGGCAGAAATATTTAATTCACAATGCTGTAAAAGGGAGAGAGTCAGTTTTACATCCTTTGACAGTAAGTCTAAAATTATTTTAAATACAGCTATTTCAACATTTTAAAAAGATATAACACATACTGTAGGACTGATGGCTTACTTTCCAAGTAAAATTTGCTTCATGTCAGTACATCATACCCAACAAATTTGAACATCAGTAAACCAATTTGAATTTCAGCCACCTATTTGTGCTCCACTGTCTCCTGAGGTATTGAGTACCTTATAGCAAACCTAGAGTACCGTAGAGTCAGCAACTGTGTCTTGATCATTCTTGTATTTTTTTTACAGCAGCTAGCCTAGTGCCTTACCACATGCATTCATTCATTCATTCATTCATTCATTCATTCATTCTTCAGTCTTCTCATGTATCAGCTGAACACCACAGGCCTCCTTCCCCTATGGAGATTATTGTATATGAAGGATTCTGAGAAGTTTTCCAGTGAAGAAATTTATTTGAATTTGTGATATTTTTGTTTAAATTGTGGTGAAGTAGACATAATAGAAAACTTATCAGGTTGAACATTTTAAAGGTACAGTTCAGTGGTGTTAAATACATTCATAATTGTTGACAAACATCAACACCACCAACTTCCTCAACACCTTTCATCTTGAAAAACTGAAACTTTCTACCCATTAAGCATTAAGTCCCCATGATCCCCTTCCTCCAGCTCTTCTCCCTTGTCCTCTCCCTTCCTATCTCTTCTCTGCCCCCCCATTCACCGTACCTTCCCCTTCTCAGGACTGTTATACCCATATGTGTTTTTTGTTTTTTGGATTTTTTTGTCATTGTTGTTGGGCAAGGTTGATTGAACCCAGGGCCTGCACACTGAGCTACATCCCCAGCACTTTCTAAAAATATTTTAAAATTTTAAAACAGGTTCTCACCAAGTTACCCAGGTTGTTCTTGAACTTGTGATCCTCCTGCCTTAGTCTATCAGAGTGCTGCAGTTAGCTTGGCTTTAAAGAAGTGAAAAGGTCTTTTATTAGTGAATACTTAAAATGCATGATATTTTAAAGATAACTGGCTCATATTTATATAAGTTGTCACACATTTAGTGAGGCGGTTATGATTGACACTATTTTGTTTGTTTGTTTGTTTGTTAACGGGGATCGAACTTGGGACCTCGCTCTTGTGAGGCAGGCGGCAGAACTACTGAGCTAAATCCCCAGCCCATGATTGACACTATTTATCTTGAATAAGCCTGAAAGATTCTTACTATAATATAGGAACAGTTCACTGCTGACCAGCCCGTGAATCCAGTTGTTTATCTGGGTGATTGCTTTTAAGATATTTCTTCTAAAGGAAATTATGGGAATTCAATGTTTTCTTCCATTGGTGTCACAGTCATAAAATATATTTGACTGTATACTTCATGTTTCTAATGTGAGAGCAAGTTTGTTTCAGAGATAGAAGCATAGGACCAAGTCAGTAATCCATCTTTATCTTCATTTGAAAACTAGAGCCAATATATATTAATGTATTTATTTATTACTATATCAGAATTCTGTTTCTCAAAAAGGCCTTACTGAGTGATAGTATTTACATTAATGGTTTTGTATTGCTGACAGTTAAGATGCAGGACCCTATGATTTAAAAAGAATGAGGTGCTTACACATTTGAATTACCCACACCCTTCCGCAGTGCTACCAAGAAGTTGTTCAGTACCACTCCGCATGATGCACTGTTCTTTCAATACAGTGTCTGGAATGCTGAAGCTAGGGCTGCATTTCCACTTGCATCTTAGTACTGATGAAAACACTCAAATATTAGCAAATACTGGTTAAGCAGTTCTGTGCCAGACGCCATGCCAGGAACTGGAAATGTTTTAGGCAGTGGGTTACTTTTACTCAACAACCAATATTTGGAGTGCTGTTTTTGTCATAAGCTTCTTTCCTGAAGCAGCCTTTTTAACTGTTAGTTTTAGATGCTTGTAACTGTCAGACTTGATGCATACTTAGATTTACAGTTGTCATATTCTTCCCTTCCCTACCCAATGGGATTCTTAGATTCCCACAGGGTAGACAGTTTTAAAATCTTACTCTTCTTTTTGTTCTTATTCTGTAGACCAGAGCCACCTTGAAGCTCTGTTGCAAATTGTATGAAGCAGGCCTGTGTGAGTAAAGAAGGGTCAGTAGGGTCTGTGTCAAACCAAAAGTTCATGTCCACCTATAAACATTAAAGAACAGATTTTTAATTCTTTTAAACCTATAAACCTATGTCAAATATATCGAGATATCAGAACTTTTCAATATTCTCAATATCTAGAGTTTTGAGATATGAAAGAATATTATTAGTTGGTGATGTTGATTTATCAATTTTCTTTCTTTATACTATGAACTCAGCACCTTACATAAATTCTCTACCAATGAGCCACATCCCAAGCCTTTTTATTTATTTTTATTTTAAGACAGGATCTTAGGAAGAGTTACCTGGGTTGGGCTCAAACTTGTGATCCATCTACCTCAACCACCCAACCAGTGTTGGAATCACAGGAGTATGCCACCATGTGCAGCTTGTGTGTCAGTTTTAAAATAGTAAAAATTTGAGACTTTGGAAGAGAATCTTGATTTCTTTAATCAAATGACAGAAAAACAAAATAGAAAAATTTGCCACTTATTATAAAACAGTATAATTTAGTCTTGCTTTATACCCTTTTTAAGCCTTGTCAATAATAATTTGTTTAGCAACTCCTAAATATTCCGTATTTCACTGTAGTGAATAAATGTAATGTTTTCAGAACTAGGTAATTTGGTTCATAGTTTCTATTTTATAAAAAGGTGCTTCCCTTCCTAAAGGTCACTTCACATTTCTTATTTTATATTTTTCTTTCTTGAGAGTATTTGGCTGCTCAGGTTGCCATAACAGAATATCATAATCTGGATAGCTTAATCAACAAGAATTTATTTCTCATGGTTGAGGGTGCACAAAGTCCAAGATCAGGACCCCAGTATAATTAGATTCTGGTGAGGACCTCCTACTCTGTAGGTGTGTTAGGCACAGCAAGAGGGCATGCCAGTTGAGTACACAAGTGTTCTTCCTCTTCCTTTCTTCCCTCTTAGAGGACCATAGTTCTGATTAAGGCCTCTTCCTAAGGACCTCATTTAACTTTAGTTACCTCTTAAAGATCCTGTCTGTAGACACAATCACTTTGAGAGTTAGGATTTCAACCTAAAGGTGAGATGCTAGGATTGGCATCAACTGTGATTGTGGTAAAGTATATCAGTATCTTGTCAGGTGTAGTGGTGCACACCTGTAATCCCAGCACTTGAGAAGCAGAGGCAGGAGGATTGCTGCAAGTTCAAGGCCAGCCGGGGCTACATAAGTGAGTTCAAAACCAGCTAGAACTACATAGCAAGAGCCTGTCTCAAAAAAACCAAACGAACAAGATACAGTAGTTCTATCAGTGTCATGGTGGTATTGGTGGTATTGTGGTAGGTACCAGTTTATTCACTGTAGACTCTAGCATATTAAAGATTTTCTAGTATTTTTAATAAGAAAAAGTATACATTGTTAATAAAGAGGAGGGCTAGTATAATCTGGAACTTGGTACTGTGCAATATGGTGCAGTGACATTCTCTGTTATTTATATATAAAGAAGCTAAGGTAGATTGCTAGTCCTAGAGATCATCACTGGACCAGACCCAACTTTTAGTAAGGTCTTTTTTGACTCTTAACTGAGGGCCAGAGCTACAGAAAGCTGTGCTTGTATTTATGACTTAAGGTGATTTTAAAAAATAATATCAAGCTATCATGTTCACGATGGGGCCATAATTCATATTTCTCACTCCTGGGTGCCTTGAACCACCAGTGGTACATGTATGACTATCTCATTGGGTGGCTCTTTATTTTATTAGTAAAAAAAGACCAGTAAAAGCGATTAAATCTGTTTGTACCACCAGTGGTACAAGCTACCTGATGGGACAGTCATACTTGTACTGCCAGTGGTTCCAGACAGATAAAAGCTAACAAGTGTAAAAAAGTGAACATTTTGGAAAGTGTGTTTGGAATGATGTAAGCAAATTTATCTCTATCTGTTTCTTGGAAATGTGAATCCTGGGATTCCTAATTTTTCATGTGTAGTTGTTAAGACCCAAGGATCAGCACTTTTATTAAATTTAAAATAAAAATTTGTATTCTGTAGTAATAGTGATGCCTACAAAAGTCTGATTCTGAGTGTTGTTGGAGTAAATTTAAAAGCACAAGTGAATTTTGGTTTTCTTTGTATATTTACTAAGGCATCTATAAGACACACACAAACTGAAATGTTAAAATCATATGCCAAATTGTCATTCTTTTTTTTAAAAAAGCTTGATAGACTTGAAGTAAATAACCACAATGTGGCACTAATAATAACATATGAGTGTTATTGAAATGAAAAGTTGATGTAAGCTGTTTCTATGTTTAAAATTTTTAGAATTTATATTAAGAGAATCCTTATCTTTCAGATAAATTTGCGCCTCATCTTGGTGAGTGGGAAAACAAAAGAATTCCTGTTTTCTCCTAATGATTCTGCTTCTGACATCGCCAAGCATGTATATGACAATTGGCCAATGGGTGAGTGGTATTTTTCTCTAAAGGATGAACAGCGCTAATTCTCTATGCCTTACTTTGTTTCACAACAACAATCTGAAAAAGTTATAAATTTATAAAATGAAAAAGAACAAAAATAACTGAGGGTGTAATGTTCAGACTTGAAGTGAATCACAGTATCCTTTCTTAGATTTTGCCCTTATTTTTCTCATTCCACAATAGTAAAGAAGCTCAGTATACAAAATCATTGTTTTGCTTTGGAATTTAGTGTAAACAAAAATATTTTTTAAAAAGAAAAAAAATAATAGTTAATACACACAACGCTTTCATACCATTAATCTTATTTTTACCAAAAAAAGAGAAAAGAAAAAACTACCTTTAACATTATAATAGTTTCTTTGGTCTATTCTATATATAACCTGCTTAAAATTAAGTTGGAAATAAAGGTAACTTTTAATTCATGTCACTGCACAAGTTCCCTGACAAGGTCATGGCTGAACAGTTTTGGAGAGTATGTTTAGTATTCCTTCCTTTCTCTACTTTTTTCTGCCTAATAAAACCATCTTACCTCCTTTCCTGTGAACTTCTTCAAGTGTCATTATGACCCTTTAAGTGGTATGCACAGTAAAGAAAAGACTGCTTCAGCTGATTTTGTGTAATTTTATTAACAGAAGCAATTTGAATTTTTAAAGGACAGGACTTGTTTCAACAAAGAACAGTGTATACAAAATGAATCAATTAGATCAGTATTTTTCAACTTTATCATAGGGAACCACTTTTAGAGGTAGAGAAGTTATAGACCCCCTAACACTTAAATTATTTTTATTAAGATGTACACTTTAAAATGTAGAAACATAAAGCCCAATTAAAGTTATTCATCCTTGTTAACTCATAAAAATCATAAAACTAAAATGGATCTATAAAGAAAATGCAAATATAACTCTAAAACTGATAGTGTTCACATTAATAATATTAATGTGCTAATGGTGTATTTTTGCTAAAGCTACCTTACTGCTTGCATCATGAATGCCTGTGTTCCTGCATGGTACATGGTGACCCAGCCGTCTGCACTCACTAGTCTTTTTACACTGCACCATTGTCATCCAGCTTCTTTTAGAAAGAATGTGTCATTTATGTATTAAGTCAGCTCCTATTCTTTTTTCATTAATCTCTTGACAGTTAAAGAAATACTGACTGCTTGACATCATTACAGTCGTAAACCTGATGCATGCAAGGACACTAAAATCCCAAGTCTACCCTTGGTTAACAAGTGGTTGTTTTCTAGAGGTCACGTGCAAATCATCAAAATGAAAGCAATTTGAAAGTTCTTAAATGGGACTTTCCAACAATAAGAACATGTGGGTTCATAGGCCTGAGTTTGAGAAATAACTAATTTAGGCAAATACTTTGAACTACTAGATTTTTTTGTTCAATTAGTAACCAACAAGCTATTTCCTAAAAGAGAGCAGAATTGAAACTAAAAGCCACAGCTGAGAAGGAATTGCAGAAAAGCTTAAGGCTGTAAAAATACTGGGTTTTCTTTGTAGACAGGCAGGATAGAAAATGATCAGTTTGAAAAGGAGTTTTAGACACCTGAGTGATTTTGTGCTAAGTATAATACAAAAGATTACTTTTACTTATTTATTTATTTATTTATGAATGATTTTGTGCTAGGTATAATACAAAAGATTACTTTTCTTTCTTTCTTTCTTTATTTATGAATGAGGAGGGCAGGGAGCTTGAAGATAGCTTCTGATATGTTGTTCCCTCTCAAAAATAGTATTATAACTTGAGGTAGAAGGAATACTTATATTTCTTAATTATTTCACTTAGTTATTAAAATTAGTTTAATTTTTGATTCATGGTAAACAAGGCAAGAATCCAGTACAGAACTTGTCTTTGCCATTTAAAAGTATCCCAAATGAACAATAATATCAGTATTGAAAATTGATTGTATCAGTTGGATGTTACTTGAATGAAAAAACTTTTTAATGCATACTTTTCCCTCAGTTTGCCAAATCTCAGCAAATTTATATTTTATGTAAAATTTAAATTAAATTTAAATATATTTAGGTCTATATCATGTAAGATCAGCGAATGTAAATATTTGTGAATACTAATACCAAAGCTATTTCCTGATTGTCTTTGATTTTTGTTTCCTTGCTTTCATATTTGTATAATACCTTTTATATGTGTTATTTTGGGGATTTCTTCTGAAATCTTCTTTTCATCATGAAAAAGATGAGGTAAAGTTGTGTCTTCTGTATTGTTTGCCAATTTACTTGAAAGATAATATATCACCTTTATCTAATACATTAAGTCCTTTTAAAAATCTTTGTTAAAATTGTTTCTAGCCTTTTCATATACATGTTCACAGGTACAACTATTGGCACATTATAATATTGTCTGCTACTTACTGGTAATTAAAATATTTTCAAATAGTTTATCTTTTTACTATGATTAGATTTTTTCCCAACTCATTTAGTTTAGTTGTTTAAACAGTCGGCCTATAATGTGGCACTCTTTAAGAAATGAAATCTAGTCTTTTTTGCATCTCCTGGTATTTAATGACAGGAGTCCAAAAGAAAGGCTGCAGTGAATGCTTGGGCCATGAGGATTTGAGTTCAGATTTTTAAAACAGTGCGGTAGTGCCTCAATTATATGTTGAAATGCACCTAATTAGTTCCCTGAATTCTTTGCAGACTGGGAAGAAGAGCAGGTCAGCAGTCCAAATATTCTACGACTTATTTATCAAGGACGATTTCTACATGGAAATGTCACATTAGGAGGTAATAGTCAAATTTGTAATGGGATTTAATGTTTATCATGCATTGCAAATATTGCATTATTATTCTTTTATTTTACATGCCGGTGTCTTAATTTACTTATAAAAATTCTAGTAAATTCAACTTTGAATTCTATTTTTGGTGTGCATACCTCTTTACATTTTGCATTTCATTAAAATTAATATTAGCACTACTTTATGAAATAAACTATCAAGTGTATAGTAACAGTCTATACCTGCCATTTTACAAATACAATTTTATTGTACTTCTGCATAATTTAGATGTATTTTAAAGTTAAAATTGAATATACAAAGTAGGAAAAGTTTATGATATTGCTTTTTAAATATATGAAGAAGTGTTTTCAGTTTGACTCCAACTAATATGTTTACTAATCATGTGAGAATAAAGGTAAACGATTACCTTGAGTGTAGTAGTCTGGTGTTAGTGATTGTAAGGACCGATTTTGGAGCCAAACTGTAAGTTGCGTCTTCTCTCCACTATTTACTTACCCATCAGGAACCTCAGGCAAGAACCTTAGTTAACAAAATGTCCCAGTTTCATCATCAGTAGTAGAGATTACAATAGTCCCTACCTCATAATTTGGGAGGAATGAATTAGTTTATATATTTAAAGTACTTAGAACAGGGGTTGACACATAGCAAACACTTTAATTATTAGCTGTTGTTCTTTATATGTGATTGGAGAAATATATAGCTCAATAGTGCCCTCTTATGGGATATGTTTTCTACCATGCTTAGGGCTGGTTTTACATTTACAAAGTGCATTTTGAATATATTCAGATAATTGGAAGTTTGTAGGCAAATTAATCACTTAAATATATTTGTTTCTATATAGTCAAGCTTTTCCACTGAGCTAAATCCCCAGCCCTTAAAAGGAAAATCTTGACAATGAAATATTTAATCTGTTTTTCTTTAAAGGTAATACTTTATTCATTTACTTAACATATTTATTGAATTCTTCTTCTGTTCTAATATTATGACTTAGAGATATAGAGAAAATAAGATAAAATCTCCCATGAAGGTCTTTGAGTATTGCATAGGACAAAAGATAAAATACTGTGCTAGGAGGGCTAGAATAGGTGAATAAAATGATTTTAAGAATGTCAAGTCAGTAGGACATTTCACTGTGTAGTCAGTCTCACATATAACCCAGTTTTTGTGACACTGTTGTTATAGTTGCTCTGACAAATCTATTGTCTATAAGAGACAGCTATCATTTAAAACTAGAGCTTTAATTGGTTGTGGTGTTGCACTCCTTTAATCCCTGCACTGAGGAGGCTAAGGTAAGAAGATCATCACAAATTCAAGGCTAGTGTAGGCTAAATAGTGAATTCAAGGCCAGCCTGGACTATACAGCGAGACTGTCTCCAAAAAAAACAAACAAAACAATACACTAGACCTTTTTTCATCTCTGTCTTTTCCATAGTTTTTATTTAGTTAGGTAGACCAGTCTTAATGTACAAATGACCTGTTAGCTCCCTGGCTCTACTGTACAATTATTAAAGATGGGGCCATGTTTCAACCTTTTTAAAAAATTCTCCATGGCTTCAAGATCTTGAATTAAAATTGATAAATATTGGTTGAATTTAATCTGATGAGTGAATCTTGAGATATTTTGATAAGAAACAATTGTCCATCAACTCCACTAATGAATTATCTTTATGTTATGGCCCTAGTATTCCAATGTCATATTAAAGATACAGAATTTGCATTAAATCAAAATCATTGACTCATTCCCATTAAATTATAAATTTTTACCCATAGTTTTTTTGGTATTTGTTTTAGTATATACCAGATTGACTTACATCATTATTGTCATTCTGTTACTGTCAGTCTTTCCAGAGGCACAGTAAACCACCTCTGGCCTTAGTGATTTAGACAGTGTAGGAGCACAGCCGGGTCCATTTATTTGATTGTTACACCTTGGTATTTGGTCAGATTTGAAAAATAATATTCAACTGTTTGTCTTTTCAGTCTCCCTGTGTTAAATAGCCATTAAAAAGGTGATAGCAGGTTACTTCAAATATTTGAATGGCTGTTGTGGATGAAGAATAGCCCTGATAAAATTAGACACAGGACCAATAACTGAAAATCAAAGTCAAACAATTTTAAAATTCAGTATATGAAAGAAACTGTGAACACATTGAGCTGTCTAAAGAAAGAGTGGCCCACTATGGGCTTCCCATAGTGAGATCCTTGTCATAGGAAGTGTTTAAGCAGTAAGTGACTGTGAAGTGGTGGTGATACAGCCAAGAAGGGATATAGTCATTCTATGAACAACTAAAGTAGGAGGCTTGGGTACTCTTCCCCCTTTCTTTTTCTTTTTTTTTCTTGTTTTCACAAGGTCTCACTGTGTTGCCCAGTCTTCGCACCTCAGTTTCCCAAATAGCTGAGACTATAGGCATGTGCCACTGTCCCAAATTTCTCTGCCATTCTTGAAATTTTGTGGCTCACTAAGTTTTAGGTTTAAATTTTTGGTTATCAACTCTCTGTTTTGAGGGATAGCCTTGCAGTTCAATGGAATTTCAGTCCACTAAAGGAAAAGTGTAGTTGACAGCCTTAGTGATAGGAGGGTGAAAAAGATGATCAGCTAGGGTTTTGGTGGTCAGTACATTCTAGTTAAGTGTTTCCCAAAGTTTGCTTCTGATATGATGAGTGTGAGAATCACCTCTGCTAAGTACTCACTTTTATCTTTTTAATATTGATTGATTGATTGATTGTGGTGCTGGTAATGTAACCTAGGGCCTTGTAAATGCTGGAAAAGTGCTCTACCATGGTGCTACACTCTCAGCCCCTGAGTTACTCATTTTAAAATGCAGATGCATCACTGTATCCCACAGATGATTTTTATATACCTTAAAGGCTGAAAACCTCTGTTCTCGATATTATCTAGTGTCATAGTAGAATGATAAAGCATTCACATGCTCGAAAAGAGAAGGCATTTTAGATTGTTATTTTTTCTTCACCTTTAGTATTATTTGCATCAATATCTGCTGTTTAGTTTGTAGTTAGCAAGGAGAAAATAGTTTTATGCATTAAAATAGCACAATTGCGGAAACAAGTCCACAAGTTACATGTACTGGCTGCTTCTAGTTTCATGCAAAGAACAAATAAGAAAAACTTTTTAAAGACTTGATTAGAAAACTATCATTATTAATACTGAAACTGAATCCAACCTGTTTATAAAGTTATTTTCTAATTGAAGAATAGAAGATTGAAAGTAAATATTTAAAATTATTTCCTGTTTCTACATTAAATAGTGTAATCAGTGTTGTAATTTTATTAGGCAACTTATGTAATTAGAGTATCTCTTAATCGAAGCTTTTGTGGTCAAAAACATTTTTTGTGTCTGCTAAAGGTAATCACTAATATTAGCCAATTAATCATATTTTTCTCTTAGCTCCTTTAAATAATACAGAAAAACATATGAAACTAATAGTGGCTATAGGTGGAAACAATTACTTTTAAACTGTGAAAGTTATCTCTAGTAATACTAACTTAATATCAGTTTGTAGAGATCTTTTCTTTGTTAAGTTCTTTCTGTTGAGGAAATTATACAAAAAGCAATTCCATCTTTAAAATGGATAGTGATTTTTAACAGGTCACTGTATATGTAACAAATTGTCTTCTGCTTTTTCTCTAGCATTAAAACTTCCTTTTGGCAAAACAACAGTAATGCATTTAGTAGCCCGGGAGACATTGCCAGAGCCAAACTCTCAAGGTAAGCCATGCACTGGAGAAATGTCTTACTTGAACCACAAAGATAGGCGTTCAAATATGGCTAGGTTTTTCTTGGACTCTCTGAAGGATGGGAAGATTTCACAGCTTATGAATAGAACTTGCCAGGCAAACAAGCATATTTTTTGTTTGTTTGTTTGTTTTTTGTTTTTTGTTTTTTGTTTTTTTGAGACAGGGTCTCACTGTGTAGTTGAGACTGAGCTGGAACTCACTGTGTAGCCCAGGCTGGTCTCAAACTCACAGCGATCCTCTCCTCAGCCTCTGCATATTTTTTGTTTGTTTGTTTGTTTTTTGTTTTTTGTTTTTTGTTTTTTTGAGACAGGGTCTCACTGTGTAGTTGAGACTGAGCTGGAACTCACTGTGTAGCCCAGGCTGGTCTCAAACTCACAGCGATCCTCTTGCCTCAGCCTCCCACGTGCTGGGATTACAGGTGTGCACCACCATGCCCAGCCCAACCATACATTTTTGGAATATACTAAAATTAAAAGAGCATTTTATTACAGCCTTTTAATTTAAAAAAATGCAAACATTTAAAAAACTGCTATTATACTGTGTGCCCTCAGTCTAGTGTTCTTATTCATAAACCAAGCTTTTCTTCATTTTGCTTAGGTCAGAGGAATCGTGAAAAAACTGGAGAGAGTAATTGTTGTGTAATCCTTTAAACACTGTCTGCCTGGTGTGGTGTGATACAGTCTTTGTCTTTCATGCTGCTGGGACAGAAGAAACCCAACATAGCTTCAGAAACTTTTAGGAACAGTCTGCCTGCAAATCCATGGACTGAATTATTACATGAACACTGTCATCTTCTCTCATGAAAGTAAAAAGAACCAAGAACATTTTTCACCATGATTTTTTATTTCTTGTATTTTTGTTTATGTTGAACAGTTTTGAAATATATTGGCTTTTGAATGCAGTCGATCTCCAGGGGAAAAGTTAACAAGTCTTTCATAGCAGAAATAATTTTGCTGCCACAAAAGTTTTCATCACCAGAACTAACGAATCAAGTATTCCAAATACAATTTGCACTAAAAAAGATCATTATTTTCCTCATCAGCAGAATTTATAATAGCTTATAGTACCTAGAAATACTTATATATACAATTCCACACTGGAAGACACCCAGCAATTATTGAAGTTAATTACTGGGCTAACTTGAGAGGAAAAATGGAAAAGAAACTAAAATGTCGGTTGAATTCTACCAAAGTCAGCCACAATGGCTGTACTGGCACAGAATATTAAACCAAGTGTGACTATTTTCACTGCAACAAATGAAAAAACAAAATGTGCCTGTTGTTTAAAGCACTCAGTAGAGGGCTGATGAAACTAATATTTTTCCTTTAACCCGTGCACTCTCGAGTCCTGTCGTTGCTGAGTGCTTATTCAGACAGCACAAGGGTGGGGTGAGAGTGCATTTTCTAGCCTTAATGTAGGAGGGTGCCAGGCGCACAGAGGCTTTCATTCTCATGCAGAAATAATAGAAAATGTCATTGACCAATCAGTTTTATGTATATGAATACCAGAAAATTGGACGTTTCCGTAATTACTGCTCATCTGTGACTGTGTCCAATGTTATGCTTATTCATTAGAGAGTTCAGATGAACTCTTAAAATTACAAAAAAAAATAAAAATCTCAGTACTAATTTTGTTTCTTTATATAGTTTGCATTTGGTATTAGTGCTTGCAATTGTATGAAAATCAAAAGCTGATTTTTATTTTTTAGGCATACAAGGCATACATGATTAAGGATGCCACTCTTATTTTATACCAATAATTTAAAGATTGATATGCTAAAAACAATTTGCACAGCACTAAAGCATGAACTAGTTTCATCTAAACCTGTAAAAAATATGAAAGATTTTATATTTTTTTCACTAGGAAGAAATCTTCCTGGATGAAATTACAAATATGTGTAGAATATATTTAATAAAAATCTTATAAAATACCTAACTATAGAACTTACATATAGATTGGCATATAGTATGTAGAACAATATTCCTTATAAATAAGTTTAGCCTTTTTAAAAATGAAGTTGCAGGCTGACATTATGTTCTATATTTAATAAGTGTTCATGACCCTTAGAAGCATTAAGTGTAAAAGGTTTCAAATGGTCAGCTTTCTTTAAATGCAATCAGGTTATTTTATTCATTGTTAATGCTTTGATGAAAAGGCTTTATATGCAGTAGATCTACAAAAATATTGTTCATACTGATCAGAATTAAATTTGTATAGAGCAGAGTTTTAAAATAAATGTACATAGCACTAAACAATTTCTTTCTGCAACCTGTACTTATAGATTCTTTCTGTAAACTAAATAAAAAAGATATTGTAGTGCATTTTGGTGATGACTTTAAAGGTCTTGATTAGGTCAGTAATTGTTTAAGTATTGCCTCATCCATGTTAAAAATGTTTTCTACTTTTATTTCTGAATCTTTTAAAGTTAATATTCTCTTCTTGGTTTGGGAGTATTCCCAATGTATCTTTGATATTTAACCTGGTTAATTTGTCCTTAGTCACAACAGTGAATAGAATTATGTAGTCTCTGTTATTGCTACAATGTTATTTCAAGAGATGTTAAATATTTATATGCTTTGTTGACTAGCTCAAATGTGAACTCTGTTAGTGTTGACTAAAGAAGAAATCTGATAATTACTTAATCGAGCCATTAGCCTTTATGGCTATATTCTTCTTTTGTTATACAAACCACTAGTAATTACTTTTAGTACCTATTTTGATTCTAATTACTCTTGAGTTTTTCCAAAGTTAAAAACTATCAATTATGTTTGCATTTTTATGGTGGTTAAAAATATTCCCTATTGGGGCCAGGGATGTAGCTCAGTGGTTCTGTGTCTGCCTGGCAAGCACAAGGTCCTGAGTTTGATTCCTGGTACCAAAAACACAAAAACAGAAAATATTCCCTATTGGTTTTAAATATATCTTTCTGTGTATTCCATATCATATATTATCCTGTTATAAGACCAAGAATTTTCTCAGTGGGATAAACTTGTTCTAGTAGAAAAAGAATTAGGTCACTTAATAATTAATATTATAGTTGTAAAAGATGAAAAAATAAGAATGCAAACATCAGTAAATGTACTGAAAAACACCAAAAATTTAGATGCCTTAATAGTGTATACATGGAAGTATTCAACTATCCCTTTAAAACACTTCTTCAGACTGCCTGACGTTTAAAATGTGATGGATGGTATCCAAGGCTACTATTGAAGATCCCTCTGCCCAAAACAGCAATTCACTAACCTAAAAGTGAAAGCTGCATAAATCCAGTAATGTAAATAAAGCCTGAATTATGGGCTTGTGCCCCTGCCCAGCACAGGCCCAGATCTAACTCATCTTTAAGTGTTCTGTACTAGGCAAAGCTTTTCTCTATTAAAACCTCAGCATGTCTCCCTGATCTGAACTATTTGCTTTCTCTTCAGGATAAGTTGTATCTTATCATGAAAAATATAGTATCTAACATCACATTAAATGGGGTTTTCTCATGACAAACATCTACCTTTTAGTTTTATGAACTTATTTTCATCAATGTTACAGTAATTTCTCTTAGCTAGTGTTTAATGTGAAAAGAAATTAAAACTTTCTTCATCTATTGTAGAATATTTCTCTTCTTTTAAATAACTTCCATTCATAACTTTGGCATCATTTTCTCATCTTTATCTCTACTCATTTTCTCTTTTTTCTTTTGTCCAGTTTATTTTCCAGTAACATTCAGCACCATACCAACCTGTGTTGGTACCAGTATGGTACCGTATGGTAACATTCAACATTGGTACCAGCATAATACTCCACTATATTTTACCAAATGCTTTCATATCATACACATTGGTGACTGTTGTGGGTTTCTGCTTTTCCCAGTATTGTTTTGTAATATAGTCAACCACTTGTTAGCCAAACAGAGTGATTGCATGGGAGGAAAGCTTGAAAGAGAGCATAGTTGAAAGAGGATTTCAGGTTCTGGCAGTTGCCAGGCACCATTTCCAGAGCCAAGATGGGGCAGGGTTCTTGGACGTGGCATTAGGCGATCAAGGCTGACTGCAGGCATATCGTGCACCCAGTGTGCTTTCTTCAGAAGTCTGTAACATATGAGGCTCTCTTATGCCCAAAAGAACTGAAAGACTTCATAGACAAAGTTGAGAAACATCTGATTCTTTACCGTCAAAGCTTATGGTCTTTGATAGTGATGTCAAATGTTTGTTCCTTATTTTTAATATTCTGCTTTTCTTTTTCAAAATGACAGCTTTCAGAAAATACGGATTAAACATGGTAAAACATTTGGGAGTAGTAAATGTCAATCTCCTTCATATGATTCAATAATAAAGGAGTTGGGTAAACACAGTTTCCTGATGTGGCTCCAGAAGTGAATTGGATTTTTGGATGTCTTAGGTACAGAGTCTGGATGCAATTATACATCCAAACATGCAGTATCTAATATCTTTTGTTTTCTACAAACATTTATTGAAGCTGATTTGGTGTAAGGAAGCCTACCATGAAGTGGGGAAAACTGCTGTCACAATACAAGGGAGTCACAGGGCCCAGAGGGGAAACAGACTGTTCCTTAGCAGCTCTGGAACCTCAAGCTTTTTAGAATGTCCAGACATTACATAGAAGACAATTTGGGACCTGTTCCATTCTCGGGCATCTGCCAATAAGATAGAGAAGTTTTCCCCCTGTGTTTTGGAGCCTGGCTCTCCTCACATTCTCATCAAATGGTGGTTTTCGTTGGAGACACGGCTTAACTGAGTTCTACTAATTAGAGTGCCAGTCTCCCTCAGTGTTTCTCAAAAGCATTTTTTCTCCATCTGACAGTTGTCTCCAACTTGATTCATACTCAGTCCTCAAAATTTAATACCATGAAAACATCTGGGCTTTGGAGTCATGCCTGCCTTTGAGCTGGGTGACGTTGAACAGGTTAATTTTTGAGCTATTCTTTTCATATACACCATTAATACTTGTAGGTTTGGTGTAGGGATTATTTAAAAACCTTTATAGCACCACTTTGCCCAAGAATTTACATGACAAACCTGTTAGAAGACTTTTAAGTTGTAAATAAAGAGCTAAACATCAAGGTGTACTCCAAGCTTGTTTAAAGTACCTTTAAACAGGTAAGAGGAAATGTGGGTGATGATGATGTTCAAACACTCAAAAGGAAGACAGAAAGAATGGGCAAATCTCAGAAGAGAAATAAAGGATCCTGCAAGTCATCAGTGAGAGACAGCCTCAGATGTTGACATACCAAGCTGTAGCGTACAGACAATAAAAATTGTTTGTATTAACATACAGACATAAACCTGACTTTCAGAACTTGTGATGGGATTACATATCTACATTATTCAAAAGAAACAGATACAATCAAAGTGGAAACAGCACTATATGGAACTTCATAAACCTAGGGAGGTAAGTGAGTGAGGAGTAATTAATGATGAGAAAAGACAAAATGATCATGAGATGATACTGTATGTTTCTTCACCTGCTTATAGCTGTTGGCTTGCACATGACTGCATTGGGAAACACTGAGGCAAGATACTATAGTGATGCAGTGATTTGATGACACAGGACTTTGATCCTTACTTGCTATGTCTTATTAGTTATTTTTAACTTTAATTTTTTTACTAGTATACATTTATCATACATATTAATCATAGGAAATTTGTACCTGTACATGATATAAGTTTTTTCCTGTTCCACTCCCCTCCCTTCTTCACCTCCCCATTTAGAAAACTTTATTTCACTTTTTTTTCCTTCTATTCTTTTATCCCTTTTCCTTCCCTTCCTCCCCCCACCTTGTTCCCCTTCCCATTTGAATGTGGTATTCCCACTTCCCAATATCTATCCTCCATTATGCTGCTCATTTACCCTTTGGGTATCTCACACAAGAGATGATGCAATTTTTAAACTGGTGTATCTGATTATTTCACTTAATATTATGGTCTCAAGGTGCATTCATTTTTCTACAAGAGTTAAGTTTATCCTCCTTTATGGCAGAGCATTATTCCATTGTATACAAATACAACATTTTCTCTATCCATCTGTGATAGGCATAAGGGGTGTTTTCCAAGATTTAGCTATTATGAATTGTGCTGCTATAAACATAGGTATGCATATCACTGTGGTGTGATGCTTTTCACTCTTTGAGAAAGATACTTAGAAGGAGAAAGGCTGACTCAACTGGAACCTGTACTTTTAGTTTTTTGAGGACTCTTCATACAGATTTCCACAGTTTTTGTACAATTTACACTCCTATCAGCAATGAAGAAGGCTTCCTTTTCCCCCACAGCCTCACCAGCATTTGTTAGTGATTGATTTTTTATGATGGTCATTTTTTCTGGAGTGAGATGGAATCTTGGTGTTGTATTCATTTGCATTTCTTGAACCACAAATGATGTTGAACATATTTTCATGTAGTTACTTGCTGTTTGTATTTCTTTGAGAAATTATATTCATTTCAAATGAAGAAGGCTTCCTTTTCCCCCACAGCCTCACCAGCATTTGTTAGTGATTGATTTTTTATGATGGTCATTTTTTCTGGAGTGAGATGGAATCTTGGTGTTGTTCTCATTTGCATTTCTTGAACCACAAATGATGTTGAACATATTTTCATGTAGTTACTTGCTGTTTGTATTTCTTTGAGAAATTATATTCATTTCACATGCCCATTTTTTGATTGGGTCTTTAAATTTGGGTTTTTTTTTTTTTTTTTTTAGCTGAGTGTGCTTGGAGTTATTTTTGCATCTTCTGTTCCACTGATCTACAGGTCTGGTTTTGTTTTGTTAGTACTATGCTGTTTTTATTATGGTAGCTTTATAGTATAACTTCAATTTGGGGATTGTGATGTCCCCTTCCTTGCCCCTGAGTTGCTTTTGAGTTGCCCAGAGTTGCTTTTGCTATTGTCTCTTCTGGTTCCATATAAATTTTAAGATTGTTTTGTCTAGTTCCTTGAGGTATGCTGTATTCTGATCCAGATTGCGTTAAGTCTGTATTACAGTTTTGGAATTATGGCCATTTTCACTATACTACCTATCCAAGAATAGTGAATGCCTTTCCATTTTCTGATATCCTATTCTATCTTTTCAATGTATAGATCTTTTACTTCCTTTGTTAGATTGATTCCTAAGTTTTTCATTTTTCTCAATACTATTTTGAAAGGTGTTGTTTCCCCAATTTCTCAGTGAATTTGTATTCATGTATGGGAGTTGAGTTTTGACTGTTAACCTTATGTCCTGCTGCACTGCCAACTTTGGTTATTAATTTTAGGAATCTTTGGGTGGAGAGGTTTTGGGATCTTCTTTGCAAATTATCATGTCATCAGTAAATAATGACATATTCCTTTTATTTCTTTCTCTTGTATAATTGCTTTAACTGATGTTGTCAGAATTATATCAAACAGGAGTCATGATAGTAGGCATCTTCATCTTGTTTCCAATTTTAGAGTGAAAGCTTTTAGGTTTTGTCCATTTAGTAAAATGTTGACTATTGATTTGTCATAGATAGCTTTTATCAGATTGAGATAAAGACCTATTACAATTTTCTGCAGGTTTTTTTTTTTAATCATGAATAGTCATTGGACTTTGTCAAATGCTTTTTCTGTATGTACTGAGGTGATCATGTGGCTTTTGTCCATGATTCTGTTAATGTGGCTTATTACATTCATTGACTTGTATATATTGAATCATCCTTGCATTCCTGAGGTGAAGCCTTCTTGGTCATGTTGCATAATCTTGATGATTTGTTACATTCTGTTTGTCAGTATCTTACTGAGATTTTTCTACTTATGCTCATTAAGGAAATTGTCCTGTGGTTCTTTTGTTTAGTTAGATCCTACTCTGTTTTTTTATCAGGCTAATGCTTGCTTCGAGGAATGAGTGTG